CGAAAGCGAAGCACCGATGGGCCGGTCACATCATGGGAAGAACAGACGACAGATGGACACTAAGAACATCGGAGTGGATTCCTCGCGAAGCAAAACGTCCCCGAAGAAGATCTCCAACGAGATGGGCAGACGTGTTCGTTGAACGGATGGACCAGCTGAGAAATCAGCTGAATACGATTTTTGCGCCTGGAACTCGTGGACGCAGCCACCGACGTCAGCCAAGAAGGTCGTGGATGTCTGAAGCGAGGGACAAGGAGAAATGGAAACTTCTGAGCTGGGGCCTGCACGTCACGTGAAGCCGGGCCATCTAAGTGTCTAAGTAAGTAAGTATAACACCCGATCTCAAAAAAACGCGACGGCTAGATTGGTTTGCCCATATGTATGGCATGAACATTTGTTTTAGATAGACGGCACAGAACAGCGCCCAAACGAGAGGTCACAACACGCACGGTGCGCTTTGCTGCTGCAATAGATGTGTTGAAATACGCAAACCGTGCCAAGTGTGTTGAAATATGCGAGATGGTGATCGTTACTAAAAATAGAAGAAAATAACAGAAGCAAAAAATAGAAGAATAGAAATCCCATCTCTGTATTCATTATGCTCTCGTTCGCTTCTCAAGCTCTTCTCATTCATTTCAGCTGAGCTAACTTTCCAACTACTTTTCATTTGTCTTAAACTTTGCAAAAAATCTCCGAAATCTCGCTTTTGGGAGCAATTGCTCCGCTTGAATCTTTTTCTCTATACAATGTGAGCGCGAGTGCGAGAATGACATTGTGAAAGGAAACGGCATAGCGATGCTTGGGGCAAAAATTTATTAGACTAATACCATCCACTTTCCGCCCAAATTTTGAGAAAGTCTCCAAAAATCTCGCTTTTGAGAGCACTGGCTTTGCTTGAATTCGATTTTTCTCAACAGAATGTGAGCATGAGTGCGAGAATGACATTGTGAAAGGAAGCTGTAGCGATTCCAAAAGCAAAACACGGGGTACTTTCGCCTATTCTTTCTCTTATCTTCACTATGGAGCTACCTTCCATTTTGTCTTTGCTGGAGTGAGTGTACAGATATGCGGATGACATTAAGCTGTACGTTTATTATTAAGAAAAGGGTCATCATGCTATGCATGCTGCACTTTAATCATCCATTGAAAGATTGAGCTAGTTGGCAATGCGTAGTGGTCTTTCTCTGAATCCCAGCAAATGCTCCTTTCTGCATTTCGGGAGAATAAGACCTTTCGATTATGAAGTGAATGATTCCGTTTCAACAGTGTGTTCATCGGTCAGGGACCTAGGTGTTTTGATTGATTCCTCAAATGAAATTTACTGAACACATTGATTGTGCCGTGCAAAGAGCGTACTCTTCGCTGTTCGCTATTTTTCGCAACATTCATACATGTGATGAAAACACTCTCATCAGACTGTATAAAGTCTGTGTGCTCCTTCATCTGAAGTATTGCTCCCAAGTATGGAACCTCTCATGTAGAAAGGAGAAACTAAAATTTGTAAAGATTCAGAAAGTGTTTACAAAAATGGTCCTCTATCGCAAACTGCGAAGTAGATCCAGAGAAGACATCCCATTATATGTGGAACGCCTTAGAATGCTCGGATTGAAATCGCTAATGAATGGGAGGATAATGGCTGAATTAGTTTTTTGTTTTCGTATACTGCGAAAAAGAGGTTGATTGGAGAGCTAGCAGGTTTTGGATCTTTAGACCTGCTAGTTATAGGCTTAGCGGCTTTAACCTACATTGTCCTAGGTTGCAAAAGAGCTTTTATTCCGGTCATTTCAACTCATTATTCTATCGCTGTGCACGCTGGCTCAATCAATTACCTCCCAAACTATTAACTTCCAAAAATAGTTGGGCTTCCAGAAGAAGTTTGCTAAATATTGATGTCCCTAGTATTTTGCATTGTAGGCCGTACCTCTGTTGATACTTTTTTATTCGCTTTAAGTCTGATTTAGGTTTTGCACAATAAGGACAGCATATCAGTTGGATTTTGCAACTCCTTAGGCCCCGGGCAGACTTCACGCGATTTGATCGTCGCGACTGAATCGCGAGGAGACAACTGTTACAACATCATTCCATGCAGATCAACTTGCATTCGGTTGTGATACTTTTCCAGACCGAAATTTTTGAATGTGAAATGAAAATGAATGGAAATCTTGGCGATTTGGTCGCGACGATTAAGTCGCGTGAAGTCTGACCGGGGCCTTACCATTAACCGTTTTTGTAAACACTCTCTGAATCTTTTCAAGTTTTAGGGTCTCCTTTCTACATGAGGGGTTCCATACTTGGGAGAGATACTTCAGATGAAGGAGCACACAGACTTTATACAATCTGATGAGAGTGTTTTCATCACATGTATGAATGCTGCGAAAAATAGCAAACAGCAAAGAGTACGCTCCTTGCACGGCACAATCAATGTGTTCAGTAAATTTCAGTTGGGGAATCAATCAAAACACCTAGGCCCTGACCGATGAACACACTGTTGAAACAGAATCATTCACTTCATAATCGAAAGGTCTTATTCTCCCAAAATGCAGAAAGGAGCACTTGCTGGAATCCAGAGAAAGACCACTACGCATTGCCAACTAGCTCAATCTTTCAATGGATGATTAAAGTGCAGCATGCATAGCATGATGACCCTTTTCTTAATAATAGACGTACAGCTTAATGTCATCCGCATATCTGTACACTCACTCCAGCAAAGACAAAATGGAAGGTAGCTCCATAGTGAAGATAAGAGAAAGAAGAGGCGAAAGTACCCCGTCTTTTGCTTTTAGAATCGCTACAGCTTCCTTTCACAATGTCATTCTCGCACTTATGCTCAAATTTTGTTGAGAAAAATCAAATTCAAGCAAAGCCACTGCTCTCAAAAGCGAGATTTTCGAAGACCTTTTCAAAATTTGGGAGGAAAGTGGATGGTATTAGTCTAATAGTTTTCCAAGCATCGCTATACCGTTTCCTTTTACAATGTCATTCTCGCACTCTCGCTCACATTTTATAGAGAAAAAGCAAATTCAAGCGGAGCAATTGCTCCCAAAAGCGAGATTTCGGAGATTTTTTGCAAAGTTTGAGACAAATGAAAAGTAGTTGGAAAGTTAGCTCAGCTGAAATGAATGAGAAGAGCTTGAGAAGCGAACGAGAGCATAATGAATACAGAAATGGGATTTCTATTCTTCTATTTTTTGCTTCTGTTATTTTTCTATTCTTAGTAACGACCACCATCTCGCATATTTCAACACATTTGGCACGCGTTTGCGTATTTCAACACATCTATTGCAGCAGCAAAGCGCACCGTGCGTGTCGTGACCTCTCGTTTGCGCTGTTCTGTGCCTGGCGTCTATTTAAAACAAACGTTCATGCCATACATATGGGCGGATCAATCTAGCCGTCGCGTTCTTTTGAGATCGGGTTTATATAAGTGAGGCATATAGACTGTAGAATTAATGCGAGCCACTGCGAAGCAGAAGTGGCGCACGGTTAGTTATATTAACGGGAAAAGGATGATTACGCGAATTTGTATGTGTATATATTTATGTGCTTGTCTGTGACGAGATACCTTGAGCGAGTTCCAGGAGAAGTCTCGAGCTGGAATTGTAGTCATGGCATCCTATCAGCATGCAGCTCCATCTTGCAGAAGCGGCTGATCCGATAAGCGGAGCCTCCGGAAATTGTGCAAATGGATCCATGTGGCTTCTAGCCTACATAAATGGGACTATATCAGACATTTTAAAAGATTATAGATTTATTTGGGCGCTGCTATAGCCGGCGTGTACAGCGCCCAAACCTGCAAAGGGCGGAGTGACCAGCTGGGTGGAGTGACCAGCTCTGGATTACGTAGCTTCTGGAGCGTATTCCTCGCTCCGGAAGTAATCTTTTGCGGGCAAACTTGGGGGTTGGCCTATGTGGGGGCCCACATTGGTATGCCATCGAATCTCGTGAACCCCCATTTTGGGTGGACGGTGCCCTTAAAGGCAGTGTCCCGGCAGATTTTGCACCTCCACCTTTTTGCATGTTTTAGGCCTTTTCGCCACGTAGAATCCGAATTTGAGCTATGAACGGGCTGAAATGCCCGATTTTGGGGCGTTTTCCTAATTCCAGAAAAGCAGCTTGGACGAGATTTTTAATGGAAAGTTGGGGGAGGTCCTCAAACGAAGATCCTGCCGCCTGTAATTCTTGCTTTGGATAGCATGCATCATGGGGGAGAGCGCTCGTGGGGTCCCGCGCCGAACAGGCGGGGAAGCCCGTCCAAGCGCGCGCCATTTGGGGTTGCGCGCGCCGGTTCAAGGGCCATTTTCTCGGCCCAGAGGGAACATCACCCAGCCGGAGTGCGCCTGGAGGTCGATGGGGTGGCCAGGAACCCCACCACACGTATATCCCTCAGGACCCGAATCTGCCGGGACACTGCCTTTAAGGTGGTCATTGTCATTCTGGTAAGCATCACGCCATAATACAACTGGTGACCAAATCAAGCCACATAAATTCTTCAGCACAAATGTTATCTTCCTCAAAGCTACCGATCGTACATGAAAGAGCTTTTGGAATGAGTAGTTGTTTAAAAGTCATTGTTTTGGCCAGCATTTCGCAGTGAGTTTCAAAGCCATCATTACGGAGTACGAGGAAAGTATGTAGATGGTAAGAAAGTGCGAGCCTCTGCGAAGCAAAGGTCCCACTGCTTATAATGCTCAGCACTACATTATCCTGTGTGTTTCAAAGCGAATTTCCTTTTTGCGCGAGCAGCTAGTGCACATAGAAAAAAGATGAGCGCAAGCCTCTGCAAAGTGGATTTACTAATTCATATCTGCGTTCATTCTTCCAGAGAAATAGCAAGAAGAGTAGATAATCACATTTAGTTGTGATGCTTAGCTACTCAGAAGGTTGGGACGATGCCTATCGAAGAGTTTTCTGATGAATCTTTCGTTACTATAACGGTAGCATGTGCTAATGGAAAGTCACATGGTGTATCCCAACAAGTGTATGGCATATCTTGTAATTACCTGTAGACGTTGCTGAATACTCCGTTTGCATGAAGGCGTAAATTTGTCATTTTCAGTCTAACGTTCTTCATTTCCGGCATTTCTTTTGCTGGCTAGAACATCTGTGTTGATAGGGAAAATGGCGCTCGTATTAGCGCACCTGCTCGACGATTTTATCGCCCATAGCGAAAGTGAGTAGGCGGTCTTCCAACCTTCCGAGAGTGTCTGAGTCTAAGAAGTGATGCAAACCCTACACGTTTTGGTCAGTGCACTAAGAGTGTTGTTGATGTTGCCGGTGACAACAGCATTTCGATATCAGTTTGCTTGGAGTGGTCGGTGAATAAGCCTCACCGAACAGATTACAGTACTATATGAGCACCCTACCTTATACAATAGAAGTGAAACATTTAGGAAATACTATGCGCAGGAAAAAGAGAGCCTCATGGCATCACAAAATGTTGTAGGTGGCTAACATTATGAGCAAATCTCGAAACAAGAGGAGAGGACTTTCATACTCGACAGAATGTTAGAAGGCCTAGGGCATAGAGGCAGCTACAGAAAGAAGCACCTAGACTCAAAATTATGTGCGCTTTCACATAGAAGTCCACCCTCTCTTTTAATTGTGTAAACACTTGCGTTTACCGGTATGTAATTAGATATTAATTGTACATACCGCTTCACATATACCCCTTGACGGATTCCAGAAGTGATGGCGTAAGTGGTATGCATCTTTCCACCATGTGATTCCGCAAGGACAGTATAACGCCATGCCGGTATCAAAACGCCACTTTCAATTCAAGAAGGATTGCAATAAAGTCCGGCTTGCCAGTCGATGGTGTATAAGAAAATACGCGTTTTCTTGATCGCCAGGTCGTCAACAAAAGATAAAATAGTTTCTTGAGCCATAGGAAGCTCTTTCGAATTCTGATTGGTACTTCAATAAGACGAGACTTGAGACAATTCTGGAGCCTGCAGGAGTCCAAGCACACATGAAAACCGGGAATCAATATTACTCCCAAAACGTGTATCAATGAGAATTTACGTCTTTTTCGATAGCTTATTCCAGAAGGCAGGGCTAGTCTTATCATGTGGTGGCGTTCAATCACACTATATCATCTATGACTTAATAATAACGGGCTAAGGGTTGTAATAATAACGGGCTAAGGGTTGTTTACGTCTGTTTGTCTGTGTGTCTGTGTGTACGTCTGTCTGTCACGAAATTCGTAGAGCGAGTTCCAGTCAACCTTCTGAGCCCAAATTTTGCACAGCGGATGCTGCCAACATGAGAGTCCAATATACAAATGCACGGGCGGATACCTTGAGTGGATCCCTCGAAAAATGCGCGTGAATCGGACCCACTTGGCTTTTGGCCAGTAAAATTGAGCCTGTAGCACAACTTTTTGTAAAGCCACTGATATGTTTGACAAGTTAATGTGCAAGCCATGGACTTCAGCCTAAAGAAGTGAACTAAAGTTTATTACTTCGCGAAAACGGCTTCAAAAAGAATAGATTACGTGAATGGTTAATTTGCTAAGATTTCCCCGATCATTTGAGAGGATTTTTGCACAGCGTTGTAGCCCACGGTGATTGTTGTACCTTATGGTGAACACCAAGCCATAAGAAGTCCAAAAAGGAAAAGTTTTATTCACGCGAAATTACCGACCTCATATGGAAAAGCGTTTGAAATGAGTGATTGTTTACAAATCTTTCGTGATAGCCTGCATAGCGCGGTGAGTTTCAATGTCATTATTATGTGGGAATGAGTAAGGCATACAGAAAGAAGGAGACCAGTGCGGGCCTCTGCGAAGCAGAGGTGACGCACTGGTTTACTATATAAGTTTTACATTAAATGGGAAGAGAAAAAAAGGCCTCTCCTGGCGGTGGGGTCACCGCAGAGGTTGGCGGCTATTCTAGACCGGCCTCCAATTTCAGCAATGTTAGGGTTGTTTCATACTGCCGCAGTGACACTCTAACCGCACCTACCGCAATGACGCACCGACCGCACTGACAAACCGCATCGCATTGTAACTATGTCAGCGAGTGATCCCATACACTTCAGAAAGCCTATTTTTCATGATGACTTATAATATCATGACTTATAATAAAGCGCTAAGGCCGTCTGTCTGTCCTCGTATGTATATCTGTCTGTCACGAAAATCATGGAGTGAGTTGCAGCAAACGTCTCAAGCCACAATTTTGCGAAGCGGACTCGCTGCATGGAACCTATGAAAACTGCTCATCAAACGGGTCCACGCGGCTTTTGGGCCGCAGAAGTTGAGCCGGATTCAGACTTCTTATAAAATCGTGAGTATATATGACATATATATATATCTGCAAGCCATCGATATGAGCCCAAAAAGTTCACCAAATCTTTTATTCTTTTCCGGAAACTGCTGTCGCGGATTCGCGACTTCCTTTATAGGAGGCCGCCGTCGCGTTGCGAAGGGTCCCAAAATGCCGTCCTCGCGCTGTCCCGCCTCTCACCTCTCTCACCTGCGCAGCGTTCAAATAAGTCACGTAGTCAGTCTTCACTGCTGTCGCCATCGTGAGCGGTCGGGTTCCAACTTCGTCTCAAGCCATCGATCGATACAGCGCCTTCCCCAACTCACGCGTCATCTACATCCACGCCATGGAGGACAGGCAACCCCGCAGTCGAGGTAACCCGTGCGCGCTCGCGCCTGGCATACGCCGGCGACACCGCCACGGGGGGTTTCCGATATTGCTGGCCCCTAGGTTTTTAACAGCTGGCTGGTTGTTTTCATCCCTTGTGTTTGAGTGTAGGGACTGTGTTAAGGATAAATGGTGGGTAGTTGATAGCCTGTGGTTATTGATTGATGCGGTGGGCTGCAGCTCGGCTGCAGCCCCGAGTAATATCGTGTTGTGTATTGCTATCATCATATATAGCCTAGGAGGTTACATCTGTTAGAAGGCTGGCACGATGCGCGCTAGTGCCAAGTGGTGATGGCCACCCCCAAGTGTCAGTAGTGAGAACGGAGCCAACCCCCAGGCTACATTTAGTGCTAGGTGAGCTGGTAGCTCAGGGCCCCTAAGAGTCAGGCATTATGCCGTGTGGCAGGCACAATAGCATTTAGTGCAGGCTAGCTACCGCCCCAAGTGACGTGAACCCTTACACGGAGAGGGTCCCCGGCTCCTATACGCCGATGCAGGTGAGCCGTATCCACTGACGTGGGAAGCTGGGGGCCCAATCCGCGACAACTGCGCCAAAAAGCAATGATTGCGTAGAATGTTGATTTGTCATGATTTTACTCGAGAAAACTAGAGCGTTTTTGCTCAGAGGTCTTACGGCGGCTATAGTCCTCGCGGCGAATTCAAAGCTTAATAAATTTGGTAGCGATCAAAATTCAAATTGTTCACTTGCAAAAACGTTTTCCACTTCCAAAGACACCGATTTTACACGAAGTAACTTTTGGAATGAGTAATCGTTTACAGTTCATTCGTAATTGTCAGCATTGTGAGTGAGTTCCAAAGTCATTACTACGCGAGTACGATGAAAGCATATAGTCAGTAGAACCAGTGCGAACCTCTGCGAAGTAAAGGTGATGCACTGGTTTTAAAAATATTCGTCGACGAGAAATGTGGCGCTGCTGCATAGTTATTGATAAATTGAAGATGACTAAGGTCGACAAAGTTCAACGTGGATTTACACTCAACCGTAATGAATAGCGGAGTGCTGGATGTTTTAGAAATTCATTATATGTATACAATTCAGTCATTGATTAGAAGCTTTCTTCCGCATCGTGTAAGCCTCCGCCAAAGGTGAAAACGGATTGACATCAACTACCACCTCGCCTTGGATTTCTGGAGGCTGGATTATCAACCGTACTTGTTGTTGTCTACTACAAATGCATGAGTCGTTACTCAAATATCATGCCTATATAATGACGGCTAAGGATTGTTTACCTCTGTTTATCTTTTTGAGTATCTGTTTGTTACGAGATTCAAAGAACGAATTGCAATCAAGCTTTTAAGTTAGAATTTTGCTCATAGCACCTTATCATCGTGTAGGTATTGAACGAAAGCATGAGCCGATAGTCACTGAATGGAACCACTGGAAGCTGTTCGTCAAAAGGATATATGCGAGGCCTGTCAAAATGGGTCGGTAATTGGACTTTTCGCAAAGTCGTGGATTTGTTAACAACTAAATCCGAAAGCCAGACTTTAGCTCCAAAAGCAAGCAAAAACTTTATCTGTACACAAAATCGGCGTTAAAAAGAGATACTTGCATAAAATGGTAAAAATCAATGTTCTAAGGATTGAAACAAATTTCTGCGCAGAGATGTAATTCAAAACTGGCATTGTCCTCATGGCGAATGTCAAGCTATAATAACATTAGCAACTGATTCAGACTCGCATTTGATTCTTTAAAGAATACTGTTACTATTCGACTGTTTAGCCACAACCGAGATTGGTAATTTATTTATTTAGGCTAACGTTTCGGCAATAATTCTTCAAGCTCTGAAGAAGGCGAATTATTGCCGAAGCGTTAGCCTAAATAAATAAATTACCAATCTCGGTTGTGGCTAAGGCTGCGTTCATACTGATTCCCATGTTCTGGAACTGTTCCCGCACAGTTCTCGCACTGTGCTGAAACTGTGCGGGAACTGTGCGGGAACAGTTCCAGAACTGTGCTGCATGCGCTGCAGCCGCCCCTCACCGCTTTGAACGGCGGGAGTTGGAGAATTTTGACCGTTCTCAACGGTTTTTCTTCCAGATTTCGCTCATTTTGGCCTTAATTCTCCACCCCGCTTCCCTTTTTGATCAGCAGCACTGCGAACTCGAAGCAGGGTTGAAGAATGAGCACTTTTCTGCGCCGTGTATTCGGAAAGATGGGCCGTGCGATTGTTCATTCTGTCTTCTTGTTTTTCGTTCAGACCTACTTCATTTGTTCCAGAGACTTGTCTATTTCAATTTCAATACAGATGCGAGACTACGCAGCGATTTGTTAGTACACATGAATAGGTCTGAACAAAAATAGCGATGAGAGAATGGACGAGCGCACGAAGGCCCATATTCCCGGATACATGGAGCAGAACAGCGTTCAATCCTCAACCCTGCTTCAAATTCACAGCTTTTCTCATCACTAGGAGAAGCGGGGTAGAAGAAAGAACGGAGAAGCAACGACATGGAAAAACGAACAAGGCTAAGAACGCCCAAAATATGAAAAACAAGAGACAAGTCCCAACTCATGCAATTTCAGGATTTCTCCTACTCCCTAATTCGTGGCAGATGGCTATGGAAACTGGGCAGCCGCTTCCTGGAACAAATGAAGTAGTTTTGAGCAAAAAACAAGAAGACAGAATGAACAATCGCACGATAGCCCATCTTTCCGAATACACGGCGCAGAAAAGCGCTCATTCTTCAACCCCGCTTCGAGTTCGCAGTGCTGCTGATCAAAAAGGGAAGCGGGGTGGAAAATCAAGGCCAAAATGAGCGAAATCTGGAAGAAAAACCGTTGAGAACGGTCAAAATTCTCCAACTCCCGCCGTTCAAAGCGGTGAGGGGCGGCTGCAGCGCATGCAGCACAGTTCTGGAACTGTTCCCGCACAGTTCCCGCACAGTTTCCGCACAGTTTCAGCACAGTGCGAGAACTGTGCGGGAACAGTTCCAGAACATGGGAATCAGTATGAACGCAGCCTAAACAGTCAAATAGTAACTCTAAAGAATACTTCCTTCCTCCTGTTTACAATTTGTCCGTGATGATCGGCATCGCGCGGTAAGTTTCAAAGCCATAATTTTGCGACTACGAAGAAGGCATGTGGATGATAGAACCAGTGCGAGCCTCTGCGAAGCAGAGGTGACGCACTGGTTTCTCCAGTAAATTGATCACTAAAATGTGTACTCATGGTAAATCAGAATGGTTCTAGTTCTTGGTGTGTGGTTCTTTCTACATTGTATGCATCTAAACAGCCTGCTGCTGCTGCCCTGCACTTGCTAGTAGCAATGCAGTTTGGGCAGCAGCAGCAGACTATTTAGATGCACACAATGTAAAAGCAGGTGCGCGGTAGCTTCTAAAGAGCGCATGATATACTGTGATTCTCATGAGGTCCTACAACGAAGACCGGCGCTCCACCCCTCATATTCAGCTCAGTACGCTCCTCGACTCATAGGCAACGCGCGCAACAGTACTACTCGCTCCAGTGATGGGAAAGTCTTGGCTTAACTGTTTCAACATTGAGTACCAGCCGCTCTCTGCCGCTGCGCGGCAGGTTCGGCTGGTACACGGCAGCTTCGCTTCCACAAAAATCTCTCGTTTTACTCTTTATTGAAATGTGAAATTTTGCAGAAAGTCGCCATTTCGCACGGATTACTTCGATTTATGACCGGCGCGGAAAGAGAAGCCGAGAACATAGATTCGGCTTTGTCAGTTATTTCGAATCAACCGTCTAAGTACCGGATATTAGGCGAACTACAGCTCATCCCATGCGTTATGTCTGGCATTACTTTAGATTCCATAACTCCTTCCATCGTTTTCAAGCAAAGATAAAAAATTTCTAAGCGAAAGTGCAAAAAACCCTAAATCAATAGCGCCAAAGTGTGTACTAAGGTACCGAACAAATGGCCTATTAACAAGGTCGCACTCCATGCATTACGTCTGCTAAATTTGGGTTAGATTACATGATCCCATTCTTCTATCCATTTTGAACGAAGAAAAAGGATCTTGTGGATGAACAACCATTTTCGATTTTGTTGATGAGCTAAGCCGGTCGACGAATCTCGTTGTACAAGGTTGGCATAGTCAGATACAGCTAGTCTCCAGAAAATGATATACAAAAAATCAAAAAAAACATGTGAAAAAGTTACAGGTTAAAGTTATAGATATTTTATCTGAAGTAACCATGCTTAGCTATAACTTCCTGCCAGTTTTTTAGCTCTAGCTCTAGCTTTTAGCTAAAATACGAAAACATCAATAAATCCACAGAGCCTATTACGGCAAAAAGCTTACCGATACCCTCAACCCCCAAGTCGGAAACTTATGTGCGCAAAGTTCCGCTCAAATTTTTTATTTAGCAAAAATGCTAAGCAAAAAGCGCCAGAAATCAATAAATCAATAGCGCTGCTCATTTCCGGTTAAAAAGCTCAGTGACATCCGCCCCACCCCAAAGTTTATGTGTGCAAAGTTTTGTTTGAATTCCACTATGTTTTTCTAGTATCTTAGGTCGGTCATAACAAAATCGCTAAGCAGAAAACGCAAAATCAATAAATCAGTGGCGCCACTCAATGATTTTCGGTGAAAAAGTTTAATGACACCGCTCCACCCCAAAGTTTATGTGTGCGAAGTTTCATCCAAATTTCATGATTCTTTATACCATTTCAGGCCGGTCATAAAAAAAATGCTTATCCGAATATTATATAGGTGTTGATTTCGAAAGGTGAGAAGTATCTATCGAAAGTCTATGTAAATGGTGTGTTTCATTCATTTTTTAATGTAGACGGTTCATTTGGTGAAGTAATTCGTCAACCAAGTTGGTCAGTTTGCCTCGTATGAGTCTGAATTAGAATGTGCCACTATAGGGCAACTGTTGTAACTGGGAGCTCACAACGCGCTACGAACTTTTATTGCAATACTGGCGGAGCTTTTCCGTACTTCCCTGTGAGAGAGAATAGAAGATACAAAAAGAAATAACGTTGAGTTCTCTTGCAACCCCATAATAATCTTTTTTCTATGCGCAATACAAGTCGAAATACGGCAGAAAAAGCTTTGTGGTTGATCAGAGAATGTCAAAACTGGTATGCATATTCAGAGCCAATGGTTTCGGCTTCGTCGCATTTTGATTCAAGTTTCTAGCATAAGTAACGGATATCGCGCAAAATGCAAATATCAATATATCGATAAGGTCAATGAGTGTGTCCGCGCGTGAACTCTGCCCGAAGCCTGGAGGTGTCCGCTCGCTCTTCAGAACGCGGAGGAGAAGGGCATAAATGCTCGCCGGCTAAGTTACCGTGCTTGTTCGAATTGTTGTCTGAGCAATCTTTTTATTAACTATCACCACCACTATCACTGGAGTATCAATCAGTTATGGCTCTCATTGTTCTCCCAATTGTTGGCTTACCAGACGTAAGCACTTTTTTACTAATCGCTAACACGAAAAGGTAGAAGTATCTTTCTTCAGTTCCTCTACCCATCGTACTGCTATTACCGACTATCATCCTCGTTGGTTTTCTATTGTGTTGGTGTTACTGGTGCTATCGAAGAGAAGTACCACCACAAGGTATATTACCCTCATTTGCATATATCGAATTTCACGTCCAGCCTATTTGGAGCCATTATCTTGACATAGTGTCACTGATGCACGTATTTAAACAAAATTTCGTGCCTGGCCGGCAGATCTTCAACTCAAGTATTTTCGCTTATCCGAATATCCAATGTGTTGATGTCGAAATTCACCTCGGAGGGGAAATTGGATAGGACTACATACCGCCGAAATGTAAGTCTGCGCTGACACCTGCACTAATCCGCATCTCTTGCATCTATGGAAGATCTTCGTTGCGGTGGCCTACCTGCTCAGACAATTACTGCAACCACCCGCGGAAGGACGCCGACCGACTTTTCATCCATGCCGCAGGCGGTAGATTGTACGCCGCCAAGCTCCCAAGATTTACCCGTGGATGCGCCGATAAGCGGCCGACGACACCCGCGGATGTCCCTGTAATCACCCGATAATGCGCGACAAGCATCCACAGGTGGCCCGATACGCACCACCTAAACGCAAAAATATCTCGAAAATTCTTTGAACTACTGTTTTTTTTCTAACCGCATGAAAATCACGATCTACATCAAAATTTGATTTTGTCGTGATGTCTAGCACACCCTTGCGAGGTCGCCGACCCATCTGGTTCAGTAACTCAAACAGTGGTCATCTGGGCACTATCGAAGTCCGACTTCACTGCTACTTATAGGCTGGGATGAGATAAGCAAAGACCAAAGGGTTTAGGATAGCCTCGAACCACCGCGGCGTATCTCACGCGAGCAACGGTTTTACTTCCAGCGTTAAGAATTTTAGCTTGCAATAGGATCAGGACTCGTCAAAATAATTCTGCTGGGCCGCTGACCGGGCTGCCCGAAGGCGATGTGCAGGCTCCCATCAAGGACCACGGTTTTACGTAGATAGAAATTGGAGATATCCCTTAAAGACCGGAACTTGCTCTATGCAGAAACTTTGCTAAAATGCGGGACTCGCCGAAAATGAATATGCAGTGCTGCCAGTAAGGCCCGGGGCTCGCTCGAAGATCGAAGGTTTTTTCGTAGGTCGCGGGTGTTCTGGTAAAACAGTTAAAGTTTACGGCCTTTCGCTAGCGAAACATTGGGACACGGATAGCCAAGCAAATCAATCTAGGGCCGCGGATGATAAGTCCAGAAATTCAGCACCCTCCAAAAAACGACGTTAGGGACTGCGGGTGCTCAATAATGCAATATTATATATTGCCTGTGTGAGAATTTCCCTTTTACATCTCGTCCTCTACCTCGCCCACTTACCAAGGCCCTTGAGTCTTTTGGACGGGTAGGGGAGCGAATACGTTAATTAAACACCATCTCCGCGAACCGCTGGTCTTCTTCACATACTAGTGCATGTCAGGATCAGCAGTCCGTTGAGGCGGTGCTCAATGAAGATATCCTTTTCGATGCCATTTGGGCAAGTAATATACCCGCCAAGGCTGGAGACGCCAAGTCGTTGCGAAATTATCACGATCATGTCACTAGCACTACTCGAAGGATAGGAGGGAGATCGCGAACCATCCGCCTGAAGGCTAACGTAACTAGCGCGACCTGATTCGGGAGCCTCTTGGTCGTGGAAGCTGCTGCATGTCCGGATGTGGTACGAATTACAGAGGTAAGGAAGCGAACGGACAGAATTTGGGACAACCCAACAGTAAACCGTTAACGTTAAAAATCTTTACGCGCTTTGTCACTTTCCCCTCTAGCAAGGCGGATAATTGTTTGACCTCGGCTCCCAGACTTGTTGGGAGGCGAAGATGCCAATTCAAGCATGGTGGTTTTTGGTAGCGAAAGAGGACGCAAAGCAATGCTTTAAGGGAGGTCCAACATACTTATCTTTATAATCAGGAGAACTCCGCAACCGCCTTCACACGATTCTGGGAGCTGATTGTACTTTGCAATTTGTCTAGATTCCATGCGGCAGTACACGCTGAACATCCTACCAACTGCCGTATGAAGGAACCAGGTCAGCCAGCACGATACTCCGGTTGCATAATACTGGAGTATAATACTTTGGATCGGGATAAAACGCGATGTTTGGGCACGAGACCAGAGCAAGTAAAACCTCCGTCGTTGACAAAAAGTAAAGCATGCATAGAAAAATAAAGGCTTTGCAGAGGTTACCTTGTCAATCCGCTGTCAGTGTAAAGCATGTATAAACGACTGAGGTCGTCCTTCCAAAACGTTTACGGCCACAGTGCTACAGTTCAAGGGAAAAAAGTCTACTAACCTGCTTGTTGGTGAAGCTCTTCCCTCTGCCCTCTTAATTTGATTCTCGCTAATGCCTATCAAAGGCTCACTGAAAAGAAGCGAGCTTGCTTAAGTGTGACCGGTGGAGTTCGGTTACGTGCCAAAACAATGAGAAGATAACTGAGTGGTCCGGTAACTGTAGTCGAAGTATAATCATGAAAATTTTACCCTACGAAATTTGAACTTTGTGAGCTTAATTTACGAACAGGCTAATACACTTCAACATGGAAGGTTCGAGAACAGTGAAGCATGAAGTTCTAAACCTATCGGCGTTTTGCTGTGCTTTCAGTATTGTAATGAGCATGTAAGGTCGGCTTACATTCTCTGCCACTCAATGCAGCGCGAGCCTCAAATGCCGTTGCGGCTGGATTTTCGCAGCGTCCATGGGTCAGCCGAAAGATGGACCGCTGCAGTAAATTAACACATATTGACGACCATACAAATTTTTAGTTGTCTACCTTTTGGGGCCAAAGCCATTTACGGAGCAGCCTATTTCAACTATAACGCATACTGCCATCTACAGTACGCCTGCAATAATTCTGAAAGGCAGAAAAAAAGTAGAGGTCAACCCTAGATTCAGTGCAAAAGAAAGCTCATGGAGTGAGTTTATCTCAGGATATTAGTCATTTTGAATAAATTCAAGCCTTATGGTAGTCATTGCTTGACACACCATGTGTGTCAAGCGGTCATCAATGTGTTAAGGGCCTCGAATGGGCAGCTGCATGAGTTAAGGACCTTGGCTCTGTTAGAGTTTTTTATGTAGCGAACCATGGGCTGCGGGTGGGCCGCACTACGCGACCGACCTGAGGCCCCTTTATTTTAGTACAGCAATACCAACCAATATCCGACCAGGCTGCGGTAGCTGCCAAAATTGGTCGAAAATTGCCCAGTGTAGTAAATTTAGGGCCGCGGCTCGTCTGCTCCCAATGTCTGAGTTGTTATTTAGAGATATAAGATATTATAGAATCACCTTATATATAAAGCTGAATGTCTGTTTGTCTGTATGTATGTAAAGGCTACTGCATGACGAAGGCGCAGAAGCAATAATAGTTGAGCAGGCGCGAACGCGGCGCGCGCATCTTCACCGTTGTAAACCCTTCGGCTCATGCGCTCTACGGCTAATAGAGCCGCGTTCGCGTCCAAAGATACTGTACCTTCGTCATGCAGCAGCCTGTATGTTTGCATGTATGTATGTACGTACATATGTTCCAAACAGAAACTTCTATCTCTGAACCAATCCCGACCAAACTTGGCACACTACACTTAGGGGCTAGGCGGGTGTCATAGGCTACTTTTCGTCATCGATCGATATCGATTTTATCGATTTTTTGCAAAATTTGAGCTACGGGGCTGGGAGTTGGCACAGGGGGGTAATCGAGCATGCTGATTACGAATGTAATAATGACAGGGCCGGGCGGAGCCGGGTAAGTCAACTAGTAACTTATAATAACGGGCTAAGGATGTTTACGTGACTTTGTGTGTGTGTGTGTGTGTGGTGTGTGTGTGGTGTGTGTGTGTGGTGTGTGTGTGGTGTGTGTGTGTGTGGTGTGTGTGTGTGGTGTGTGTGTGTGTGTGTGTGTGTGTGGTGTGTGTGTGGTGTGTGAGTGGTGTGTGTGTGGTGTGTGTGTGTGGTGTGTGTGTGTGGTGTGTGTATGTGGTGTGTGTGTGGTGTGTGTGTGTGGTGTGTGTATGTGGTGTGTGTGTGGTGTGTGTGTGGTGTGTGTGTGGTGTGTGTGTGGTGTGTGTGTGTGTGGTGTGTGTGTGTGTGGTGTGTGTGTGGTGTGTGTGTGTGGTGTGTGTGTGTGGTGTGTGTGTGTGGTGTGTGTGTGGTGTGTGTGTGTGGTGTGTGTGTGTGTGGTGTGCGTGTGTGTGGTGTGTGTGTGTGTGGTGTGTGTGTGTGTGTGTGTGTGTGGTGTGTGTGTGGTGTGGTGTGTGTGTGGTGTGTGTGTGTGTGTGTGGTGTGTGTGTGGTGTGTGTGTGTGTGTGGTGTGTGTGTGGTGTGTGTGTGTGGTGTGTGTGTGTGGTGTGTATGTGGTGTGTGTGTGTGGTGTGTGTGTGGTGTGTGTGTGGTGTGTGTGTGGCGTGTGTGTGTGGTGTGTGTGTGGTGTGTGTGTGGTGTGTGTGTGTGGTGTGTGTGTGTGTGGTGTATGTGTGTGGTGTGTGTGTGTGGTGTGTGTGTGTGGTGTGTGTGTGTGGTGTGTGTGTGTGGTGTGTGTGTGTGTGGTGTGTGTGTGTGTGGTGTGTGTGTGTGTGGTGTGCGTGTGTGTGGTGTGTGTGTGGTGTGTGTGTGTGTGTGTGGTGTGTGTGTGTGGTGTGTGTGTGTGTGGTGTGTGTGTGGTGTGTGTGTGTGGTGTGTGTGTGTGGTGTGTATGTGGTGTGTGTGTGTGGTGTGTGTGTGGTGTGTGTGTGGTGTGTGTGTGTGGCGTGTGTGTGTGGTGTGTGTGTGGTGTGTGTGTGGTGTGTGTGTGGTGTGTGTGTGTGTGGTGTATGTGTGTGGTGTGTGTGTGTGGTGTGTGTGTGTGGTGTGTGTGTGTGGTGTGTGTGTGGTGTGTGTGTGTGTGGTGTGTGTGTGTGGTGTGTGTGTGTGGTGTGTGTGTGTGTGGTGTGCGTGTGTGTGGTGTGTGTGTGGTGTGTGTGTGTGTGTGTGGTGTGTGTGTGGTGTGTGTGTGTGGTGTGTGTGTGTGTGGTGTGTGTGTGTGGTGTGTGTGTGTGTGGTGTGTGTGTGGTGTGTGTGTGTGGTGTGTGTGTGGTGTGTATGTGGTGTGTGTGTGTGGTGTGTGTGTGGTGTGTGTGTGGTGTGTGTGTGTGTGGTGTGTGTGTGTGTGTGTGGTGTGTGTGTGCGGTGTGTGTGTGTGGTGTGTGTGTGTGGTGTGTGTGGTGTGTGTGTGTGGTGTGTGTGTGTGGTGTGTGTGTATGGTGTGTGTGTGGTGTGTGTGGTGTGTGTATGGTGTGTGTGTGTGGTGTGTGTGGTGTGTGTGTGTGGTGTGTGTGTGTGGTGTGTGTGTGCGGTGTGTGTGTGTGTGGTGTGTGTGTGGTGTGTGTGGTGTGTGTGTGGTGTGTGTGTGTGGTGTGTGTATGGTGTGTGTGTGGTGTGTGTGTGGTGTGTGTATGGTGTGTGTGTGTGGTGTGTGTGTGGTGTGTGTGTGGTGTGTGTGTGTGGTGTGTGTGTGGTGTGTGTGTGGTGTGTGTGTGGTGTGTGTGTGGTGTGTGTGTGTGGTGTGTGTGGTGTGTGTGTGTGGTGTGTGTGTGGTGTGTGTGTGTGTGGTGTGTGTGTGGTGTGTGTGTGTGGTGTGTGTGTGTGTGGTGTGTGTGTGGTGTGTGTGTGGTGTGTGTGTGTGGTGTGTGTGTATGGTGTGTGTGTATGGTGTGTGTGTGTGGTGTGTGTGTGGTGTGTGTGTGGTGTGTGTGTGGTGTGTGTGTGGTGTGTGTGTGTGGTGTGTGTGTGGTGTGTGTGTGGTGTGTGTGTGGTGTGTGTGTGTTGTGTGTGTGTGGTGTGTGTGTGTGTGGTGTGTGTGTGGTGTGTGTGTGGTGTGTGTGTGGTGTGTGTGTGGTGTGTGTGTGTGTGTGGTGTGTGTGTGGTGTGTGTGTGGTGTGTGTGTGTGGTGTGTGTATGTGGTGTGTGTGTGGTGTGTGTGTATGTGGTGTGTGTGTGTGGTGTGTGTGTGGTGTGTGTGTGTGGTGTGTGTGTGGGGTGTGTGTGTGTGGTGTGTGTGTGGTGTGTGTATGTGTGTCTGTTACGAAATTCGTGGAGCGTGTTCCCGCCAGCGTTCTAAGCCCAAATTTTGTATAGCGCATGCTACCTTCATGAAAGTCCAACATGCAAAAGCATGAGTAAATTCGTTGAGTGGATCCCTCAGAAATTGCGCGCCAAACGAGTCCACCTGGCTGCTGTATCGCAAATTTCGGTCCGTATCACCACTTTTCGCAGAGTCGTGGATTAGTTTGGTAAGCAAGTGTACAAGCATTTAGCTTAGCACGAAAAATGGTCGAAAGTTTAATACATAACGAAAACGGCGCCAAAAAGAATTGGTTGTGTAAATGGTCAATTTGCCAAGGTTCTAGCTAAGCGTTTGAGAAGATTTTCGCACAGAGATGTAGCTCACGGCTACTATTACCTCTATGGCGACTACCATGCCATGACAAATCCAAAAACCTATTCAAATTTGCGTTTGTCTTCCTGCGAAAGGTTTCATCCACGCGAAATCACCGATCTCACGTAAAAAACACTTTTTAAATGAGTGGTTGTTCACACTTTATTCGTGGTAGTCGGCATAGCGCGGTGAGTTCCAGTGCCACGATTTTACGAGAGTGACTAAGGCACATAGATAGTAGAGCCAGTGCGAGCCTCTGCGAAGCAGAGGTGACGCACTGGTAATATATAACAGACCTGAGGAAGAATTACGCAATCATCAGCCCATCTCGTCATTTGAACAGGTCCTTTTTCAGGGCCTGTGATGCTTATGACACCTATCATGACACCTACTGCCCCATTACAACCATCTCCTGTTATTCATCCGAGCTACGCTCCCAGTATTCCCTCGGCATCGCATCATGATACAAAATCAGAGAGCAGGAGAAGCCGTGAGTCTGCGACAGATTGCAGCACAACCATATCAAATGCGTGCATTCAAGGGGAATACCTATCCGCTCACGCACATCGGTCATCAGATGAAGCCACTGATATGTCGTTCAAGTGAAAATCGTCACTATATGCTATATGAAAACTACTTTCGAGCTTATCAACCATATTTAAAAAATCTTTTTAATCATGTCTGTAATGCCAGTCTTGTGAAGTACAACAATTCGCTTTTATTGTCGAGATTGAAGTGATCTTTATGGTCTTTTAAGATATAAGTTGTGCCTTCACTTACCCAGAATCGTATATAATCTTGAAAGCTTTAAAATGCATTATAGTGAAGGATCATGCAGTTGTTGATGCATAGCTGATGAATCGAATCGTCACTGGGCCCGCGACGGTGTCCATTCCAAAAGCATAAGTTTTTTCTCGTGCGCTAGAGCGCAGTAATGTGGGTCACATCGCCTCAATTCAGAGGACGTAATCTGAAGATTGTCTAGCGAATGCTTTTTCAGACTCAAAATTGTCAAATTCAGAAAAAAGATAATCCAAAAAAGAGTTGATTGCTGATTTTCTCGAAGAAAAGTGTAAATAGTGAAACGACATCCTGAAGAAAAGGAAAATTGTAGATTGTAGCAAAACGGCAATCCAGTAAGGAGTTTATTCACTAGCAGAAGTTGAAACGGATTCACAAATATTAGGTTGGTGCAAAAATAATGTCCGTTTTGCAAAGTTTCACCTTGAAAAGCTAGAATGTCCAGACTTCACATTTCTGAATATGTTCAAGACCAACAGAAGCAGTAAACCTTTAGTAATTAGCATGCACCTGCTCATATTGATATTGCAAACGCAAAGAACTGCACCAAAAAATTGAAGGCAATTCTTTGAAGACCTTGTATTTGAGAGATCGCAACTTCTTCAAGTTTTGGTCCTATGGCTGGTGATCGGCTTATTTTGTAGCCGCAAGCCAGTAGTATATGAGCGTTTAGAAAAGGCTTCAATGATTGAGTTCTGCGAGAAAAGAAAATAGTATGAAATTGTTCACTTTCTTGAGCCTACTTATGGTAGGCTTGAAAGTCCAAACTAAAAGTTTGGAATTCCTCACGCACTGAATAGCAAAATTTTTCAAAAACTGTAAACAAGATGCCCTAATTTGCGATGGTTTTGATTGTGGGAAATTTTTGACCCATACAATGCTAACAGCGAGTCTATTTTAGGGAATCGACTTCTCAGTCCAAATATTTTTAAAGGATCTTATTAAGCATGAATAAGTAAATAATATTCATCCTATGCAGTAGCTACGTTTCCAAAAGAAGTCGTTTATCTGCGCCTGAATTGTGACCATGAATGTGAAAGCACTGAGATTTCGATTTTGAGTGTTGATGTGTAAAATGCTGGTAAAATTCTCAAAGATAAGGATAGAAACTTAATTGCACAATATTTTACACAAAGAAAGCTTTCCAGTGATGTGCAAAATATATTTCGAAAAGGATGATGGAATTAATTGCTCGGAAAATAGGCCTGGAAAAACGGACATTATTTTCGCACCAATCTAATAGTTTAGCATGCCAAAATTGTGGCTGAATCTTCTTACAAGGGACAACAGATGGTAACATATGCACCACCGTACATAGCAAAGCTTTATCTGTTGACTCATGCATAGGGTGCACGTCTTTAGCAGCAGCTTGGACATTGGTCCAACAACTTCCCTCTCTACGCGACTACGTCCTTAGGAGCCGTTTTGAAAGCAGTCGGCCTTACCGCCTATGCGACAATGTCCTAAAATGTCCTACCGCTACCGAATAGAAGAGAACTTTACATTGTGTCAGGAACGTTTTCTTACTGCTCTTCCTTCATTTTGACCACCATACCCCACCTTTCCAGCAATTATTGCACCCTGTAATGCGGCTAGACTCTCTGATTGTGAGATTTTCGGCCGGCACTGCTTTCGTTTCAAGGAAATCGCTCGGCTTCTCGGTTTTCGCTCATGTACGACTCTACCTTGCTCGAATAATTTACCGCAGCTCTGAGCAGTACAGAAACTGGATATCGTCTTCGTTGATGCCAAATAAGGTTCAGAATTATTTGGAATATAGATCTATTACAAAGTATTGATCTTTTATAATGTGCTTGTTTCTTACAAAGCTGTTTAGAAGGATCGAAGTAACACCAAACTAAATTAGTGCCCATTCCACTTACAGAGAGAAATCATAACGCTACATGTTAGTGTAGTTTGAAGACATCCCTAGTAGTTTCAGGTGAAGACTGAGGCAAAAAGTATCGGTTGCAGGAATGGCAAAACGGGCTAAGTTTTGGGTCAAGTGACAGATTATTTAGATTTCATCGAGTGGTCATGAATGAAAAAAGGTTTATCCGTTTGTTTATTCGACGAATCGAGAAAACAATTGATCGAAATTTTATTAGAATATTCGATTATTCGAATAAAATTTCGAATAAGTTGTTTATTCGATTCGCCAAATAAACAAGATATCCGAATAAAAGTCTTTTTCATTTATTCGACTATTCGAATAAATGCACCCTCCTGAATATTCGACTTTCGAGTTCGAATAAATCATTCGAATACTAATATTCGAAAAATATTCGGTTCTAACTATAGTTACAAACGCGATGTGCTATACGTGCCGATGTATTTGCCACTTTTGTAAATATACAGAAAAAACTGACTGACCATCACAAAACTCCAGGATGTATTAGTTTGAAACAATGGTCTAGTCTAGCTCAAACTGGTCAGACAGCATCGTATTTGCCTCATTGAAGCGGTGTCATAGGGAGAAAACAAACACTGCTGCTGAGTGCACAAACAGCTTGCCCTTGTAGCGTGTTCGCTGCTCTCTGAACTTCAACATCTTTTTGAGAAGCTAAGAAGAATAAGTAGTTTTGCGTTCCATCTTGTCACTATGCGATAATTCGTACCTCTTATATGGTTGGCACTTGTCACCTTATGCGTGAATAATGCGAGACGACAGAATATCATACCACTTTTAGCGGATCCTCCACTCCGATTGTATCCCATTTGTCCCGTAACCTACTATTCCTTTTTTCTGAACGGACAAACAACCTCCACCTTTCTCCAGGAAAATATATCAGTACGAATCACAAGGTTTCGTCCTCATCCTAACCATGGCTAAATAGCCGTGCAGGCTCCGGTTTTTCGGCGCATAGGTAACTGCAATTGGACCAGTATATCTGCTCACGAAACTAGTCCTTTGGTCGACGCAGCTATCATCCATGATTAACCTGCTTCGTTGTTTGCTTTTCACTTTCGAAGCACTGCCACGCTTTCATTTTTGTATATTTCGTGTTCACCTGATCCTTTCACGATAAATGAGCGTTATTTGCCTAATTGTTTGATACTGAAGTGGGGCCGGGAAAATCATTGTGCAAACAAGGAAGTAGTGCTTGAATTTATGTTTATGCTGATTTTCATTCGTTTGCTTAGGCTAATGGGCCAAATGAGCCAAATTTTAGGAAATGTGACTTTTCTCATGAATTGCTTTATTATAAGATCAAAGTTCACCTTCAGCATACACTAGGGCAGCATTGAAGAATGTTGCTTATAGAGATAGCGGCTACTATTGCATCCCGGATATAGCGGCTACTATTGCATCCCGGATATTTTCGAAAATACGCATATCATAGATAAATTCTATAATAAGTGCGAAGAAAGATTTGTGCAGTTTCAGAAGTGGGCTTACATTGATGAGACACTCTTGATGCTGACGAATCCGTTGAATTTCTATATTTATAGTCAAAACGAAGGATAAAATTCAAGCTTTTTTGTCAATATAACGTCACTTCTCTCCTTTGGAACATTGAATTGCTAAGTAATCTTTAGCATCATAAAAAGTAGTCCAAGGAAGGAAGACTTACACCCAGTACTTTTCGAGTACAGTAGATGAGAGAGAAATGTTCTACTTTTGGAACGGAAAATGGTTTTGACTATTACACCATTCGCTTTAAAGGTTGTGTCCAAAACAACATTGTTTGAGCTTATTGTTAGGTTATGGAGAGCGAAAGAGAGAGCTGTGATAGCCTTTATAGTCCTTTTAGAAGGGAAGTGACATCGGTTTGAGGTGAAGTATGCTAACTATGATAGTAACCTTGTATTGAAAAAACGAACATACATACTGGAATAAAACGAACGATACAAACATATATGCTATACAAATATACTGATGATACACTGTGAAAATGTTGTTTCTAAAAGTTTTCTTGGTATTTTTACCTACAGCAACGTTTGCTTGTATTTCTCTACACTGAGGTGAAGAGACCTTTTGTCAGAGCCCTTCATATGTAATGCAAAGAAGAGCTTCTGTTCTAAAATATCTTACTGATTTACTTTATTAGTAGTGTAACTTTCCTCGCAAGGTTCATCCCAGCTTAATATCAAATTCTCTGTTTTCTGTGGGATAAAATGTATGTGTTTATATCCATTCATTTCGCGCATACACACAGATCGCACTAATCGCTGTACAGGCCTCCACGACATCTATGGTTTTTACTGCGATATCATGAGAACCATTCACATTCTGGGCCTAATAGCCCTGTATGGCCAGCACGTCCAAAGCCAGGTGTGTTTAGTGAGAAATAATCTCATGGAAAGAAATTTACGCATTGCAGATTACACCTGATTGTGATTTGGAATTTGCATCGTCAACGCTTGGAATAGTTCAAGCTCATGTAGTTGACCCTATGAAGCTTGCTAACGTGGAAGCTATCCTTTTTTCTTGGTGAAGTTGCTTTCATAAGATTTGGTCATTTGCTAATCAGATTCTATTTTCAGCAACAAATCAAGAATGCAAAAAATAGCCGAAATATCTGTATTTCTACTTGAAAAAGGAACATTTCCATCACGTTCAATGGAAGACATTCGGAAAGTTGGATTGTTAGTGAATGAGGAAAAGAAGAGGAGACTCGATTTATTTTGGGAAAATATGCCACCGATTTTGAAAAAGGTGCGTATATACCATAATGAATGCATTTAGATTTCCCCCTAAATATTCTGTCCAAGCGAAGTTCCTGAAATACCATCTTACTTGTATTATTTTGAACTTCCAGACAACCGATGACATCACACTCATACTTTTGAATAACTCTTTGAGCGGAAATGAGAAAGTGCAGAGCTTTACGGACACTGTCGCCGCTTTACCTCGCGAGCACAGAAGAGCGCTCGAAGAAGTTTTCGACCAAAGAGCTCCCCAAATGCACATCACCCCTGTTGCTGCTAAAATCGACAGCCATCATGAGATCGCCGGTTTTGGAAAGGGCGACCCTGAGCAACCGACAACGGAAATCCTACTGAGCACACCTCCACCATTTCCAATTGAAAAAGAAAAAGAGATCATTCCTGGAGCGGAGATAGGTGCGTTCTCAAATCCGATAGTAAACTACGCTCGAACTCGAGGTTCACTCGTGGTCTCCAAAACGGCGACTATGACTGTTCTCATACTCAGAGGCCACCAATGTCCAACTGACTTACAATGGAACTTTCAGGAATTCCCGCAAGCACAGTAATACGAAAAAGCGGTCCCGAGCCGCTTTTTCCGCCAAGCCCTCCGAATCACAGGTCTTCACCACAACTTTTGCAACCAATACGGCCAGCTAATCAGAAGCGCAGCGATCCGTTGAAAGAGTTACTCGGTGCTGCAATGAATATAGACGCAGTTAGTTTCTCTTGTCTTTTCTTTTCAGTAAGTTGCTTGAAAAAGGTGCGAATCTCTGCAAACTCTAATACAAAGATATTCTTTACATTTGATGAATAAATCATCAAATCATCAATCATCTTTGTCACTGTCGCATTTGTACTCAAGACTGAAGATTCAAATATTACTCCTAGTAAATTTAGTCATATCCCCATATCTCAATACTCTTCCTGCAGCATATTAGTCACTGGATTTCCTCATTTTCTAGGATCAAAGGGGCACCAGCACATCTCAAGGAGGATCTTTTAATGCTCTCTTCAAACCTTTGCCAGGTTTTACCGACAAAAAGCCCAAATCTCTGGGCATCGTGCAGAAGCAAACCGAAACTATCGAAATGGACGATTCTGACTTGCTAAATCCGCGATCGTCACTTCTGTCAGACGCGGTTCGCTTACTTGAAAAGACTATTCCCCTTATCAACCCGATGCGGCCTCCCATGTTGTCAAAAGACTCGAGGTATATAACGGAAGATATCAAGGGCCACTGAGGCAAATTTTATTGAGACATCCCATTTCAGATTCTCACCTTCGCAGACTTTTTCGATACCTGGAAAGTCACTAAGTCACCCATCAGGTATGCAAAATCCTTTAACATTTGCTGCCGGAATATTTTCTTATCGTCGGTTGATATGAGTTATAGCAATTCTGTTTTCGATTAACAGCTATTCATTTTGTGAGGATATGCAGGTAAACGAAAAAAAACAGTAATGTTGGTCATTCCTTGCCAGTGGCCGACAGACTCTCCCCCGAGGATGACTAGGATAACATTAGAGGGGTCAACATGAGTTAGGAAATCGTGCGAGGAACTTGTTTTTGCTTGAGACCATGTGAATATGATCGGTAAAAATTTCCGTAAAATTTTGAAGAATTATAAAGGACTAGCTGGCTTACCCGGCTCCGCCGTATCCGGACCAAACTTGGCACACATACACTTCGGGCCCCGGCGGGTGTCACAGTCCACTTTTCGTTATCGATCGATGTCGATTTTACCGATTTTTATCGATTTTTTGGCAGAGTTCACCTACAGGGCTAGGAGTTGGCACAGGGGGGAAGTGAGCATGGGGATTCCGAATACAATATTAGTTTTCAGAATTATCGATTGCTTTTATTGATTTTATCGATTTTTTGTAAATTTTGACATGCGAGGCTGGGATTTTGCACAGGGGGGTAATCGAGCATGCTGATCACGAACACAATATTAGTTTTCAGGATCGTCCATTACTTTTATCGATTTTATCGATTTTTTTGCAAAGTTTGACCTGCGGGGCTGGGAGTTTGCACAGAGGGTAATCGAGCATGCAGATTACGAATACAATATTAGTTTTCAAGATCGTCCATTACTTTTATCGATTCTATCGATTTTTTGAAAATTTGAGCTAGGGGGCTGGAATTTGGCACAGGGGTGTTCGAGCATGCTGATCACCCCCCTTGGGGATGATCAGCATGCTCGATTACCCCCCTGTGCCAACTCCCAGCCCCCTAGCTCAAACTTTGCAAAAAAATCGATAAAATCGATAAAAGTAATCGATAATCCTGAAAACCAACATTGTATTCGGAATCCCCATGCTCGATTACCCCCCTGTGCGAACTCCCAGCCCCGTAGCTCAAACTTTGCAAAAAAATCGATAAAATCGATAGAAGTAATCGATAATCCTGAAAACCAATATTGTATTCGGAATCCCCATGCTCGATTACCCCCCTGTGCGAACTCCCAGCCCCTTAGCTCAAACTTTGCAAAAAAATCGATAAAATCGATAAAAGTAATGCACGATTTTAAAAACTAATATTGTGTTCGTAATCAGCATGCTCGATTACCCCCCTGTGCAAAATCCCAGCCTCGCATGTCAAAATTTACAAAAAATCGATAAAATCGATAGAAGTAATCGATAATCCTGAAAACCAATATTGTATTCGGAATCCCCATGCTCGATTACCCCCCTGTGCCAACTCCCAGCCCCGTAGGTGAACTCAGCAAAAAAATCGATAAAAATCGATAAAATCGATATCGATCGATGACGAAAAGTAGCCTATGACACCCGCCGGGGCCCGTAGTGTATGTGTGCCAAGTTTGGTCCGGATCGGTTCAGAAATGGAATTTTCTATTCGGAACATACGTACATACATACATACAGACAGACATACAAACAGACATTCAGCTTTATATATAAGATTTAGTGTCAGCACCACATCATCTTTTGAAGAATTGGTTTCAACGTTTGCAAACTTAGTGTTACCAAATTCCTAGTGAGGTCCAGCATGCTGAATCTTCAGCCTGTAGATTTTTCACATGCTGTGAGCATGATGAGACTTTTTCAGACTCCATTCCAGTGCCCTTGTCAGAGCAAAGAACATTGTTGCCTTCAAGAGATGATCCACTTCATCCTGACGTAGCCCCGATCAGCCCCGTGAACAGGGCTCGCTCATTGGGCACATTTGACACACATCTTGGTCGCTTCGCCAGTGGTGTGCCCAATAGGTGACGAGTCGAATATTCGAACTGCTCAAATGTGAACTCAGTTTAGAGTCATACTTCATACGAATCAACTTGCGTCGATCAAAGATATGGACAGACTAAATGCACCGTCGTCTAGACATCTACCGCCACCCCCAAATTATCTAACTACAAGGACCGAGCAATTCACCACCTATCCTGACCACAGGTAAAAGTGCGTGCTTATTGGCTAGATGCTGCTAAAGTGCTTTTTTGAGGGAGGGACTGTTTCCGGAAGTCAACCAAGTTCGTCCACTGTCACAACAAGCGCGGGTATTCCGTCCTTCAAGCCAGGAGAGTGCAGGTAAACAATTTATTTGGATAGCTCAACCTAAAAAAAATGTGCGAAATTGTCCAATTCGATTTGTAGTCTACCCCACAAACCATACCAAAGGAACAATCACAAATAATGTACCAACCTCCAATCGTGACAAAACGTTTCACATCGAAAATTACCCTCCAGCGCCATACGGCATAGCACCAAGGCCAAAGCAAACAATAGGTACGACCTCAACTGAGCACTAAGAAATCTTTATGGGCGCCTGCAGGGCACGATCTGTTGGATACTGATCGACTGGGTTCTTGGTCGATGGGTAGGTTCGATAAGGAAGAGCCTTACTATCCTACTCCCGAACCGAGAAGAGAGTCCACTACAGTGATAGCAGGTGCGAACTGAAATTGTCGTGACGTTTTCAAAAATTTTGTTTAGTTTTACAAGAGAGAACAACTAAGGCAAGCAGCGATCTGTCTACATTTAACGAAAAACGTAAGTTCATTACTTTAGCTTCTACATCCTTCTCACTTCTACACCTACTTTACGCGAAAATACTGGAGCATTTACAAACCTAGTCTCAGAACACAATTCGAGAAAATAACTATTAAAAGCGATTCACTTTCAGCGGCAGTTTTGCCAATGTTTCAACGATACCAAAGCCCCGAATCTATTACCGGAAGTCATGCTCTTCGCGAAGTGTATAATATTCGACATCATGGACGCCCACGATTTGTTAAGATTGATCTCAGCAACGAATAATAATACGTTTGAAATATACATAAATGAATAATGATGTTTATCAGCTCTGACATATGATCGTACATAAAGTGATCTAGAGTTCTTGCGATCTGGATGAATCTGATATGAATCACTTCGCTGTAGTAGCACCGAAGAATGCTGGATAATTTTGGGGAACACTGAAATGCTGTTTGAGCAGAAATGCAATTATGATCTACTCACTAATAAGCTTTCTATATCAAAAAAGGGAACATCAACAAAAACAAAATGATGGTTTTGCCGCAGTTGGATTTACCTCGATCGGGGTTTGGACAATAGCGAAGAATGTGCTCCCTTTGGCAGGGTTCATACTGAGCCGCACAAAGCGGCACAGTTCCCGCACAGCGCTCGAACTGTGCTCGAACTGTGCCGGAACTGTGCTGCATGCGCAGTTGGAGTATTTTGACCGTTTCTGACGGTTTTTCTTTTAGGTTTCTCTCAATTCGGGCCTTATTCCTCCACCCCGCTTTTCCTTTTGTTGTGTAGCGCTTTGAACTTGAAGCGGGGTAGAAGAAAGAGTGAAGAAGCAATGAAATGGAAAAAGAACGCGGCTGAGAGGATACATGAAGCACAATCGCGTTCATTCTTTTACCCCGCTTCAAGTTCGAAGCGCTACACAACAAAAAGGGAAGCGGGGTAAAACAAAGAACGAAAAAACAATGAATTGAAAACGAAGAGGGGTAGGAGCCCAATAGTGGCCAACAAATTGATGGGATTTCCTGCTCTTCTGCACTATTTTTGCCCTCCTTCAAGAAAAATGCCTGCGAAAATATCGCAGTGCCTTCTGGAAACAGATGGAATACTCTTATGCAAGGATAAAACAAAGAGACATGAACGAGCGGAATAACACACATAATCGGACACACAAAGCAGAACAGCGCTTTTTCCTCAACCCCGCTTTGCACTCGGAGTTCCACTCATCAATAGGAAAAGCGGGGTGGAGGAATAAGGCCCGAATTGAGAGAAACCTAAAAGAAAAACCGTCAGAAACGGTCAAAATACTCCAACTGCGCATGCAGCACAGTTCCGGCACAGTTCGAGCACAGGTCGAGCGCTGTGCGGGAACTGTGCCGCTTTGTGCGGCTCAGTATGAGCCCTGCCTTTCTAAACCCCTAACTGTTTCACATAGATCACTTTGGCTTTGGCCATACTTTGCCCGTGTTGCCGATGTCCAGTGTTACCGGTGTTGCCGATGTTTCCACTGTTACTCGTGTTGCCGATGTTTCCAGTGTTACTCGTGTTACCACCTTTATTGCTGTTGATTCTCGAAATGATCGCCAGTACAGTTTCATTCTTGAACGCATTCTCACTGAGTGGTGAGTATACAGGACCTGAGGCGATCATACTGCAATAATAATCCCATGCTAAAAACCTGCTTCAAGAAGTTTTTATGACACAAATATAATCATATTGTTTGATTTGTAGCACAATGAACTCTAACGTACTGGCTAACGTTTTGGACGCCTTGATCGAACTTCAAGAAACCTCGTCTTCGGAAGTGTCATCATTTTCGCGGCCGTATGTGAGAAGGGAACACATTTCCTTCTTTAAAAAAAAATTTTGAAACTGAAACTAAAAAACTGAAAGAAAAAAGAAAAAGAACTTTTTCGAAGCAGGTTTCTAGCATGGTATTATTATTGCAGTATGATCGCCTCAGGTCCTGCATACTCACCACTCAGTAAGACTACGTTCAAGAATGAAACTGTACTGGCGATCATTTCGAGAATCAACAGCAATAAAGGTGGTAACACGAGTAACACTGGAAACATCGGCAACACGAGTAACACTGGAAACATCGGCAACACCGGTAACACTGGTAACATCGGCAACACGGGCAAAGTATGGCCAAAGCCTTTCTTCCTCGTACCGTTCGAGACTGATAGGTGTGAGCAAAATAGTTTTTTTTCCTTGAAATAACAATCATTCTCTTGTAGTAGTCCATCAAAGTACCATTCAGTTTCATTCGACCGGTGACCCAGTCTTGCAGCACTATGCCTCCCAAGAAAACAGGGTAGATGTTCAACTCCATCCTCCCTTGGTTTTCAAGTTGCCTGTTATAGAGACACAAAGAAGAGCAAAGTGAAGAAAGAGAAAGCGGATGACGGCGCTCAGGATGGTGAAAATGAATCACGCAAGCGGGACGTCAAAACACGCAAGGCGGTGCGCAGAGTTTCATTGTAAATGATGTGTTGACAGATGAAAAGAACGACAAGACTTTCAAGAAGATGTTGATATTAAGCATGCACAATCAAATCAACATAGCTTAAAGGCAGCGTCCCATCGGAGTGGGGTACCTGGCTCTGGTAGTAATGCAACGGTAGAACCCCCTTAACTAAGCGACGACAGAAGCGCGAAAGGGGGTCTACGAAGTCTACGAATTGCCCCCCATGTGGCCCGAATCTTACAGTAGGCACGGGCGAGTACCAAATACATGCAAAGTAGAGACGCAGAGTCGTTGCGGGACCCTGCACTCATAACTGTGTGCGCTATACCACTCTGGCCTGGCAAATCGATATTGCTGTGTGGGCGGCGTCCGGGCCTACCGTAAGCGCCACTTTTGGAGCAAATTTCAGGCTTGGTAGACCCACTCATTGGCTCCGAACTTCAGTCATCGCTTAGATAGGGGGTCTACTTTAACATCGTCAGAAAAACCCGGCACCCATCTTTTTGCCGGGACGCTGCCTTTAAGCGCAGGGCTTCTGGTATTCAGATGGAACACGTATTTTTTACTTATGAGTTTATTGCATTACAGAAGCAGAGTTCAGTGATTGTGCATGGTCAAAAACCACGTTTCAATGTGACCTGTGACTTAGATAGATATAAATAGCGTCCAGTAGATTTGGCCAGCTTCTGAAATACGGGTGGGATGAGCTCTGAACTTATAAAAAAGCTACCTAATTTAGCTCGGCCTTTTGTTAAAATGCATATATATATAAATTCTGAATCAGCTTCAAACGCTGATTCCAAATATGCTAATTCTAGCTGCCACGCACTATTCCGAAGCGAGTTATGAGCTTTTTTCTATGCAAGATTTGCATACTGCTGAATATGGGAAGACTGCCTGTAAATAAAAACCTGCAAGAAAAAGGTGCTGAAGTATCGAATAGTACAAATCCAATCTATTTTAACGCAGGTGTATCAGCACTTGAATGATGATGACGTGATGCCCGTGAGTCAATGAGCTTGCCAATTTTGCGCAGGAAAAAGGCCATAACTCGCTTCGGAATGGTGCGTCGCAGCTAGGAATAGCATATTTGGAATCGTTTGAAGCCGATTCAGACTATATATGTCCCTTGCCAAAAGGCCGAGCTAAGTTTGGTAGCTTCCCTTGTTAGCTTCAAAAGACGAAGTTTTGCTGTCCATCCTGTTTCGCCCGCTCCTCTTCACTTTCTCTGCCAAGTCTTTGCTGCTGTCCACTTCTTCGTTCCCGCTTCCTTACCTTTTCGCGTAGATATTCCGGTGCAAACCTCATTTTTTTCAAGGTCCTGACCAAACTTCACGCAATTTTGCAATCTGTCAGATCTATTAATTACAGTCGGAGACTGCAAATTCTTGGTTTGTACAACTTTGTAGATTGATGGGGGACGAGTGGCGTACTGGTACAGTGCTGGCCATAATTATAAAGACACTAGAAACTGTCGTAATTTGCGTTCCTGTAGACGAATCTGTCTGATTCGCTGTTTAGTGCGCATGTTAGCCTACCATGACCCCTCAAAATGGCTTCCAATTTTGTTGAGTTTGAATGGAGGAACTTAGAAAAATTTGAAAAACCCCTAACGAAGACAATTATAAAGACACCTGGGGTTTTTTTGAACACTATCGCATCCGCTGACTTTGAAAAAATTTTGTACAGTTACATACTAAAATACGGAACACTTGCAAGATATGCGACCTGTCATCTTTCTCAAAAACATATGTTCACCGCATTTTTTGCTTCAAAAGCACCAAAAGTCAATCTGCTTCAGCAAGCAGCTGGTTATTAATACTCTGAAGTTGAACCGGATCTCGGACATACCTTGCTTCCGTGGATAGAAACCACTCGGCTGGTACCAGTAAACGTAGCGCCGTGGAAGCGGCTTACTCAACGGTCATTAGTCACACGGTGGAAAGCATCATTTATTATAACAACCAGCAATACTGTAACATGAAATGATTTATTGGCAAGAAAACATGAGGGGATCACAGAGGTATGACGAAGTCGAATGGGTGAGGCAGGTGGTTTGGTGTGAAGGCGGCATCAGCCGCTTAATGGCCGGAAGGTCTCATCGATGACTCTTTTCTCCTTCGGCTTTGCTACTCGTCGACCACGCCCTAAACGAATGAGTCATAATATCGCATCTTGAACGATCTCCGATCTGCTACAGTTTCCGATCTCTTACAGCTCGAAGGCAGTGGCTCGGCAAAACCAAACATCTCGAAGTTTTGATACAGTGGTTGCTTGCATCTCAAACATTAGAACAGAGCAGGTCCAAGCGCACTACATGCTTACCCTGCCTAAGAATGCCCCTAGACCGTGCGTGCACGCCATTCCTACATGCGCTCGGACAAGCTTGCGGTCTTCCTCACACCGTCAAAGGCGGCATGCCGCAATGCTATAAACATGAGGGTTCCGCAGCGACTCTACGTCTTTAATCATGGCGGGGAGTGGTCCACTCGTCCGAACTCAAAATGAGAACCCTTGAAAAATGCTGGTTTTCGACGTTTTCGTGCTCTCCAAAGTGTATTCTCAAAATGAGCGCGTCGAATTACCCCAGGTAAGCGAAAAAACTTCAGGTCGAGAGTTTGCCACTGCCTTTAAGACAAGCATTGGGTCCTTCAAGGCTCTTTTTTCTCTAGTAGTGCCTTGAAGGTCGTCATAATGCGTTCCAACCTCGTACGAGCCGTTAGCACACTTCGCAGACTCGCTAGCCTTTCAAAGTGGTCATAAAGGGCCGGGCATACATCGCGCATTTTGCCTCGCGATTCTCCCATCAGGACAACTGGATGGAACTTCCTCCATGGATGCTGAAGGCCTCGCTTGCCTTCATCCTTTTTCTTCTTGGTTTTTGTTTCTTGTAATGCGATGACGTAATGCTTGATTGCTTTGCGGCGTAGAGAGCGTTCAGGTCAGCTGTTTTAGCATTGAGCGCAAAGGGGTAAAGGAACGAACACCTCAACTAGGTACCGCCTTCGCGAGTTGTTGGTCCTTTCGTCCTACCATTGTGCATATTGGGACCAGTAGTCCGCGGAGGCGATACCTAATTGAGGTGTTCTTTCCTCCACCCAGCGCAAAGCTGTGGCATATCCATAGCGAGTCGCACACGCGTGATTTGTGCAACCCGAAAAACCTCAAATCGATCTCGTTACCACCAAGCGCCTTGTCTGCGATCGATATGTAAAGTACCCTACAGATGTGGAATGAGAAACGCAGACGATTCTTACCTACAGTCAAACGGCGGGGAATGTGGTCTGGTTGCTCTTAGCTAAGCATCCGGCGGAGTCAAAAGAAACTACTATTAAATTGTCCCATAAGTCTTTTCAATTTCAGCTTTCGCTGTAGGAAGTCATACACTTCTTATTCTAAACAGAGACATTAGGATACTCGATAGAGCAAAGCACGCTTTATAAGATGGCGTTTACGCTTTTGCATCAACTTTGATCCGCCTCAAGTCTGAAACCAGAATCTAAAAAGTTTCTGGTGCCCAAAAAACTGAAAATTTTTTTATATCTTCGTTCAAAAAAGTCTTACACATCTCTCACTCGCTCACGCATACACACTCCACGTCAAAGCTCACATGTGCTTTTTTTGTTAGCTAGAAATCAAGAAACCAAAAATTTCTGTTTACCAAATTCTGTGCTGTTCTTACACTAACAGTTGTATACTACAAGTCCTTAATAATACAACCGTAGATTTTTAGCTCTCTATAAGCTTGGAATTCCGATAAATGTTGAGTTAAGCGTAAAACACCCGCGTGAGGAAGGCTAAATTCTATTTCTCGGTAACTATAGCTTATAGAGAGCTAAAAATTCACGGTCGTACTTCTTAAGGCTTGTATATATAGCTGTTAGTGTAAGAACAGCACAGCATCACTTTGGTAAAAACATGGGAATTTTCGTCTTCTTTATTTCTAGCTAATAAAAAATACAGCAATAATATATGAAAGTCTGATGTGGAGTATATATGCGTGAGCGAGTAAGAGATTTGTAGTAACTTTCTGGACGAAGATATAAAAAAATTTCAATTTTCTGGGCATCAGAAATTTCTAGATTTTAGTTTCAAACTTGAGGTGGATCAAAGTTGATGCAAAAGCGTAAACATCTTATAGAGCTTGCTTTGCTCTATCGAATGGTATCCTTGCGGTTATTTCTAGTGGTCAAAATGCTCGTGCTGCTCCAAGTAGAAGGCAAAAACGTCCAAACTTTCGTACTGATCAATCATTCAATCAAGTGCAGTTAGTATATAAACGCTAACTCCTTTTCAAAGTTTCACTTTAGTAAGCTAATTGGAATGTTCGAAGTTGCATCTAGCTACATATATACATCGCTTTTCCATTTGCCAGTCCAAATTGGTATCTTCCCCTTGTAAAATGGCGATGTCTGGAGCTCTTGAGCGAGGCAATCGTGATGCCTCCCTCGCATCATACCCGCAAAAACTCCTTCTGCACCTTTTGCTTTTTTGATCAGAAATTTGCATCATTCGAAAGCAATTTCAGGCAGCAGAACAGACACAGGCCCAACCAACACAAGTCCCTCAAGTGGCACAATGTGCACGAGGTGGAGCAGCGGTGGTATGTGATTAACAGCTCACTTCGTCTTGATTACTTTGCGTTAGATCATTACAAATAGGTAGCAAAATGGGTTCAACGAGCACTTGATATGGGAGTGGATGCTTTGCGAGGAGAATACCGTTCACTGGCTAGATACACGTTACCAGAAATGACATGCGAAGCGTTTAAGGCTAACCAAGAAGCAGGAAGAAATAGGCATGCCTAGCTTCTATTCCATGCTAGTACTTGAGGAGATCATTTTTCAGATATCAGGATGTGCCCTGTCAAGACCAATTTCGGGTGGTGTTGAAGTGGCCTGGCGCACCCACCGATTACGTACATGCGAATTACGTTGGCACACCAGTATCAGAAAAGCGGTTTATTTGCGCACAAGTGAGAGTATCTCCTATTGTGATGATACAGGACTCAAAGATCTGTTGAGACTTTCCCAATTTCTCTCTGATCATTCAAAGATCAAAAACAGGGACGCTGCCGCTGACAGACGAACTTTTTAGCATTGGCTTAACCTGTTTTACGCATAATGGTACGCAAGCAAATTTGAGAAGCACCCCAAATTTTTCGGAGTGCGTGGCTAACGCTACGCCCCCTCATCCGAAAAAAATTTTTGTCGCCCCCCCCCCCCCCACCCCAAGCGGAAATCCTGGGTACGCCACTGGAAAGACACAAATTTAGTATAGTCCATTCAGTAAAACCATAGCTTTCACATACGAGTAGGGGAACGAAAGCCGCCAGTTTGGGCCGCTTCCGCGGACTGCTGGTCCTGGGACGACATGCAACAACATTGCGAAAGGACCAGTGGTCGCGAGGCGGCTCAAACTGGCGGCTTTCGTTCCCCTACCCAATACAAGTGGATGTGTCAGACTAAGCTCTTAGATAGCGATTCGTTCTAAGACTATCAATTATGTCAGACTGAGTTTATCACAGGGACCACTGGACGGTACGATCCCAGAATTCTGGATGATGGTGCTGCAAGAAGAATCAGAAACTATAATCATGCTAACCAACTGCATTGAACGGGTAGATCGTTGTCTCCAGGCTCGAGCCACCTGATAGTGCGCATACATTTTCTTTAGGGCAAATTCAAATGCTCGGCATACTGGCCAGATCGCGTCGGAGAAACAAAGACATTTTCTGGAATAGAGATAACCAACTTACAGGTATAGAGAGCTGAATTATGTGGTTTATGCAACAAGGGCCTTTAGATTAGAGCAATGTCACCAGATGAACCATCAGTCGCCCTAAGCATATTGAGCGTAAAATTTCCTAAAGACGGCGGTTTTGAAACAAGAGAAGTTCGACATTATCAGTGGCTAGATTGGCCTGATCGTGGAGTACCACCAATTCGTCTTACAAGCATGGTGCGAATGGCCCATCGGAGTGTATTATGTTCTCCATCGTTCTATTGCAGGAACTGCTTTCGCGAGTGCGAGGAACAAGGAAGCCTATAATTGTGCACTGTTCAGCAGGAATTGGGAGGACGGGTACCATTGTCGCGATTGAGTATATTCTGGGTAACAATGTCGAAGCAATTTTGAGATGCTATCCATTTTCTTTTCAAATTTAGAACGTATGCAAGCAGGAGTCGAGTGTGCTGCAATGTGTGAACTATTGAAAGAACTGAGGAATCATCGCGCATACTCCATACAAAACGATTTGGTACGTCATAGAGTTTCACGAATTCGCTTTTTTTGTTACCCTAAAAACTCGCATATAAGGCCTCCCATTAGATAAGTCCGAAGACCTCTCATCAGATAAGTTCATCTGCAGATAAGTCCGGATTTATCTGACCAGATTTTAGGGTAGTAATAATGAAAAGAAAAAGGATTTATCTGTACGGCGGACTTATCTGAAGTAACTTGCTGGGTCAAAAAGCGACTAAATCTGTGAGATTTTAAAAAATTGAACAGATCGGAGTCAACATAGCAGCGAGTTGTGTAATACCAAAGCTGTGAGAAGAGCGTGGCGCAATGGACTGTGCATTATTTGGACCGAATCGAATGATTATTCGACTATTCGAAAAAAGCATTCGAATAAAATTTATTCGAAATTCGATTATTCGAAAAATTCAAAATCTCGAATTTATTCGATATTCGCTTATTCGAAAATTGTCAATTTCGAATTTATTCATTATTCGGTTATTCGAAAATTTCAAAATTCGCAAAAGTTATTCGATTATTCGATATTTTCGTGCAATCGAATAACTACATGACAGCGTCACATTTTTGATTGCTATATCAGCAAATATCGTTTGTTGCTCAATTTGTCCACTTCGTTTAGTCTCCAATGTGCTAATTCAGTCAAATTTTGTTTGAATATTTGACATAGTCAATGCAAAGTACTCATTTATTCCAATTTTTTTCTCCAGTATATTCGATTATTCGAATTTTTTTCAGTTTCGCAAATATTCGATATTCGAGTATTCGACAATTTTGATATTTCGAAAATATTCGGTATTCGATTATTCGGAATTTTTGGCTTTCGAAAGTATTCGATGTTCAGATATTCAAAATTTTTGGTCATTAAAAATATTCGAAATTCGATTATTCGATATTTTTGATTTTCGAATATATTTGATTATTCGATTATTCATAAAAGGTTTCGAACATTCCAAAGTATACTGTACATTACGAGTTTATTCTAAAAGAAAGCTTTTCATCTATACTATTAACTTGCGTAACAGAAAGTGTATCTCTTTCGACACTTTTGGGCCCAGCATTTCATGCAGAGCGCTTGCTTGAGGTTCCGCGAGCAAAGGCACTGGCATTTTATCAAGATCGAAGAGAATGAAGAAACGCAGGCGCGGTCCCTTCACAACATATTACACCTGCCTCGCGAAGCGTGAGCGCCATCCCAATTCTGTCTTAGAATGGCTTGAGACATATCAGCTGTAATAAGCTGTTCAATCAGCAGCGATTGTCCCGGTGACACATTTGCGTCGGACGCATGGCAGACGCCATACTTGTCATCAGTCATTTCAGAAAAAAGGCAAATCAGTGATACCATGTTTTGTTGCGAAGTGGATGAGGTGAGTAAGTGTGGTGACGTGCCATACAGAGATGAGAAAAGGGGGGTTGAGCTTGGGGACAGGCGTGGCCGACTTGGGGGAGGGGTCGTAATGAAGAATCACATTCGTTCAAAATGGTGAGGAAATTTACATTTGAGTAAGATAAAGAAGAAAAGCGCTAGACTGTTGAATACCACAAGTCCACCACTGAAGGAATGAGTATCGTAAACAGCATATTAATTAACTCCACTATTGAAGTCTAAGAAGGTCTCAATTCTCCATCTCTTGAATTACTCATGCCAAGTCACAAGGAAGTGCTGTGTAAGCTGGGTATGATTTTTGTAAATCTTTACGATCTACAAACCATTACAAATCGCAAAGTTGCAAGGGTCTAATCGATTGCTATCGCTTACATCAGATTGAAGTGAGTAATACCTAGAAAGAAAAGAAAACTTTGAAAATACATCGAAAACCCTCTGGTTGCTCCTTCAACAATCCAGGATGGGGACGCAAAAGATGGACGGGTATGCAATGACACACATGATCATATGAAATGATTCGACTGTAGAGTCAAACACCTACTGTAGAATTAGAATCTTTTTGGTTTGTGCCAGCAAATCACATAAAGTTTTGGTTGAAAAAACTTCTTCGGAGATAAAGTCAATGGGGTCAGGCTAGTGGCGTACCAAGGATTTTCGTTCCAGGGGGGGGGGGGGAGGCGACAAAAAAATTTTCTGATGAAGGCGCGTGGCGTTAGCCATGCACTCCGAAAACTTGGCATGCTTCCCAAAATTTTTGCGGGTCCCTAATGGCCACGCCCCCAGAAAAATGTTTTCATAAGGGTAAATTGAATTTTTTCAAAATTGAATAAATTATTTCAGTTTGCAAGTATAAACAAGTCACTTGCACATTTTTATTACACATATAATTAACTTTCAAAAATTTCGCGACCCATTCTCGGGGGAAGGGGGCTTCGGTACGCCACTTGGTCAGGCCCAACCCCTCAGAAGGTCATGGTGCCTGGGCGTTTGTAGCCTTGTGCTTGTCCCGTTAACTTGTTTCATTCAGAAATAGCCTCTTTTCTGGTATGAATGTTGAGCTTATAGTCTCTTCTTGCCACTAAAAAATCGGAGCCAAGCACCTTACTCCTGGGGAAATTATGGCTCTTTTAATAGGTTCTTTAGGTCAAAATCCGCCGTCAAATTACAAGTGCTTGTAAAATTGCAGACACAGAAAATCGGGCTTAAGTTAGAGATGAAACTTTTTGGGACAGGATGATGCCTTCCAGAATGTCACACTCTGAGGTTCCGGGCGATGAAGAAGGAGTCGTTCGGGGGTTTCAGGGGAGGAAGAGGGGTCGTTTTCGAAGGGCTCGTGCCTGATCTCTTGCTCAGCTCATTGAGACTGAGCGCGAAAGTTGAGCCCAGATGACACACAATCGAGACTAGGTTTGAAAGCAGTCACGACTGAGGAAAAAACAGCACTTCTCCCAGTGAAGAATAATCTTTAGTTCGTCTTCTGTTGGGCAAAGTCATAAAGCAACTGACATGGCGCGGAAGAGCTTTCCATGCTTTTCACCCGGTAATAATCATGCAAAAGTCCCTTCTATTTCCATATATGAAGGCAAAAAACTTGAAAAACTACGATGTTTGGCGCAATAAAAGAAGCAAAAGATCATGTTTTAGCCTATTACATTGTCCGAAGACGGACGAAAGTTGAGAACTGCACATCAATGGATAGAGCGTAAGAGTTCTATCATAAGAAAATAAGATTATGCTTTTGTTTGCGCAGAATTGAATAACACGTACTTTGGTTCTCGAAACTGCTAATGACCATATTTCGCGAAAGCCAGTTGAAACTTGTGGGTCGTGGTGGAAAAGCAGGTGAGCATGATACAAGTAGTGGGTTAGATACTTGGGTCTAGCTTCGAATATCTCAGTTGTGCGTGAATCATTTGCACTGCCGCTTGGGCAATGTCTAAGTTAGGTTTCGAGATCCCCATATGTTCAGATTTGTCCGGCCACTGCCTTCAAGCATGATACCAGCGAGCCATCCTAGGTCTGGCTTTTTCATCACCCATTGAGTGATAGTTTGGATGGTGTCACGTGCTCAATGCGCAAGTGTTTGAAGCTCATGGGAGGGGAAGGGGCGACAAAAAGAAATCTTCAAGCCATGCACTCTAAAAAAATTTTTGGGATGCTTCCCAAAATTTTCGCGGTTCTTTAACCCCACTTTTGAAAAGAAGGAGTGGCGGCAGCAGATTCTGGGAAAAAAATTTCTTACAAAGCCGATCTTAATTTTCAAAAAATTTCGAAAATTACTCAAATTTTTACAAGTAGCAAGTCATTTGCACATTTCTATAACCCATGTAAGTACTTTCTAAATATTTTGCTACCCGTTCTGGAGGAGGAGGAGGGGGGGGGGGTGTTCTAACATATCAAGATCGTAACATTTAATCATTTCTTTTTCTTGATATACAGCTATCTACTAAGCGTCCCATTACTTTCCGCTCACCCTGTTAATAGCAAAAAACAAATGAAGTTTAGCGAATGTTCATGAGCGAAGCACATCATAAGTGCCCAAAGATGTACTAAATCCACTACTGGACCTCACTGCAACTACGGGAGGAATCAAAAAAAAATTGAGAGTTGGGATTGCAGAATCCCTAATTTTGCACGGTTCGAGCAGAGCTTTCTATGAAAATTGGAGGTTTTTTCAATCTTGTGGAGGTCCCATTTCTTTGCTTCCAAGTATGATAATGGTTCCCAGCTGTCCTGAGGGCCTCGGGCAGATTCAGTCGTTAAGGACAAGGTGTTACGAGTTCACTGCATGCTGATCTCCTCGTATTTCGGTTGTGATAGTTAGTAAAAATATCACAAACGAATTACAAGAAGATCGGCTTGCAATGAACTCGTAATACTTGTCTTTAGCGATTGAATCACAACGACCATATCGCGTGAACTCTGTCCGAGGCCTAACGCAACCTTTCTAACATCATTTCATTCGAAGATTTATAATATGAAACAAAAGCAGCAATGTTGTTTTCAGCAGTATCTTTATGTTCATCGTGTTATCCTCTGTTATTTTCTTGAGAAACACAGAAACAGGTTAGCGGAATTGTTGCTCGGGCGCCGTTCTTACCACACAAAAATCCCCCTGCGTGGTCATTCATAGCACCTTTCAGGTACGCATCCATCCTGCACGATGAAAATAAATCAAAATATGCAAAGTTTATCTCTGAATACAATGCGGCGACGGGAACGCAATAGTGGGAAAACATTAATGGACTTCATTTAATGAAATAATGAATGGCCAAGAAATCTTTGCTCTCAAAGTAATAAATGTTTGATAGTGCCACTGTCATAAGTCATTAATAAAGGGATATGAGATGCATTCGTTTGCAAGAGTTCCTCTTACGGAGCGAAATTCTAATTGCGAAAAAATTTTCAGTGAAGCAACACATTACGTATTGGAGAGTGGCCTTACAAGGCGAGGATTTGGTGCCGTGGCCATTAACGATGAGGTAGGTATACATCGTTAGATGCGCCTTTGAATGCTGGTTTGAAATTGTCTCCCATATCTGCGAATTTATCTAGCTAGAGTTATGATTTTTACAAGAAGAAAAGCGCCATCATGGAGACAGAATCACCAAAACAAATTTTTATAGCCTTTCCGACTGCTAATTTCAAACCACTTGATTTACGGCAAGTTTTCTGCCCAAGATTTTGTTCCGTTGCATCAAGCAGTAAGTTAGACCGATACTAATGATTTCATCTATGCAATTACGCCCGAATTTTCCTCAGAAAAAGAGTTCATCTTTTCTTTCAGAAGATCGTCTCGCAGATAGCAGCGAGGGCACATTTGAGATCAGGGTTTCGAGATGCGTCTTGCGGTATACATTTTATCTTGGATGGACACGGTTGCCAATATCCTACCCTTCTTACCGCATGCATTAAAATCCCCGCTGAGGAAGATCGCAGCGAAGAAGGCTTTGAGAAAGCTCCAGATAGTTGGATTTCACGCTGTCTACCATCCGTAAGTATTCCTACTATCCTTCACTATGAACATATCAAACAGGAACGAGAAACTGTGCAAGCCGCATTTTTCAGCTTTCTATATGATTCTCTGTTCCCGGCGACTGATTTCTTCGAAGTTAAAAAAACATTTCAAAGCTTTATTGATTACATTAGGTTGTCCCGAAAGTCTTCTCTTTTCTTCTCTCACTAACTCACAGAACACCAATCCATGAACGAGTTAGGTACCATTTCACTCAGAATTTTATCGTCTTTTTTTACAGCTATATTTCTTCCTGATCTACCCTGTCTTTGCAATGTTATCACCATGGCATTTCGAGCGGCTCAGCAGTTACGCCATTTTTTCCTGAATTTTAAAAATTTTTACCTTGATGTTTTTGATGAGCGCTGGTAATCGTTATGCGGAGCAAACCTTTGGCTACATTGTATTCATCCATTTTAGATTACATAGGCCACGTTTACCAACTCCGTTATGACTTTTTGATTACATCTACCACATAAAAGTGCTGAAAATTCCAAAAAAGCTGCTTTTTCAAAGCAAATCAAACTTGGTTATGTTGTATAAGTAATGTTCAATAAGAATCATGTTTCAATTTGCAGAAACTTAAAAAGTTTGCGTATGTTTGCTGCAGTTGCTTCATGACTTTGCCAAAAACAGAGACCTCCAAGTATATAATTATTTGAAGCTAATTCAGCAGATTAGAAAAATCTAAAAATATTACCTTGTAGTCCGGAAACTGCTCTATTTAATCCATGCTTATGCATTTCCGAAACTTTGCAATGAAACTTTCAAAAATTAGTCTAACTTTGAGCAGATAAAATTGACGGGTGGGGCTTTGGCAATTATCAAAAAGAGCGTACAAGATTGTGGTTCGAAAATGTGTCCATAAGAAAGCGTAGGAAAAGTTGCATCGATTGCATGTTGAACATTCAGGTCTTTACTGTGCGTGGTTCTATGTGGTTTGAAAAAACGGACAAAACCTTCGGGACAACTTAATATAACCCAACAGTGCTAAGCGTATTGGTGATACAAACAATTGACTAGAAATAGAAATAGAAATAGATAATAATAATAATATATAATAAATAGAAATACCGAAATTTCCGACAGTCCCCAACTTTCGACTTGTGGTTCATCGCGATTTTCATGACTCCGAATTATTTGTTCTTATCGGGAACATGCTTAGCACTATCTAGTTAGATAACAGTGAAACTTTGGCACATATTCACTAACTCTAAAGAAAGAAAAATGACCTTGGAGAAAGACCTTCAGCCTTTGGGGATCATCAGGTGTTCACATAAAAAGCTAAAAAATACGGCTTGTACAGCTTCTCGCTCCTGTTTACAATGAAGGATTGTAGGAATACTTACGGATAGGTAGACATAAACAACTTAAAATCGAGATATTTGGAGCTTCAGGACATGAAACTTTCTTTTAGGCTGCGATCCCCTCCACGGCGGGAATGTTAATGCATGCGGCCTTTAGCCTATTGACTTCATAAAAAACTACTAATTTCATTTTCGAACCTTAGCACAACCTTACAAGGGAATGGTCAGAAGTCGAAGTGGCCAATCCAAACAAGCTGCATACCGTTCGACGCAGCATAGAACGCCGATTTCTACTCTGTTTTCCATATCTGCAGAGCGCATTTGTAGGCGAAGTTATGAGCAGGTTTACTGCGAAGAAGCCGTGTACAAAAACTGCGAAATTTGGCATAGTATTGCTCTTTCAGTTCACCTCTAGATATGGGTCATATGAAGTAACCTAGTTGCATGTTTTGGTCCAACACTGGGCCGAGAATGGCTTTCTACGGCCAATTTTGCACTTTACACGCACAATTTCTTGGCAAAATAATGAGTTTCAACGGCTTATAATTTCGTCCACAAAGGCGCTCTGCAGATAAGGAAGGCAGATTTAGAGTCAGCGTTTAATGCTGCATCTAATGGTGTGCAGCTTGCTTGATTTGGCCACTTCGATGTCTGACCATTCCCTTATTACTGCCAAATGGCGCTTCCGAACCTCAAAAGTATGACTGATTGAATGATGTTTCAGAACCTTGCAGATATCGTTGTAACTTTTTACCATGATGGAAGAAAGACTCAAATCGCTTAAGGCTGCAGCATCAACATATCGCCGGGGAGGAGACCGCAGCTCAAACGAGAGCTTCATATCCTGAAGCTCCAGAAGTTTGAGTTTCACGCCTCAGAGGGCGAGTGCTCAGACACTACAGACACTGGGAGCGGACAAGCCGCGGCCTGTTCATGTCATTATCATTGCACCGCCCGAACCGCGGGAGGAAATAGGCTCACCGGCTCAGCCGCGTCCCTTAAAGGCAGCGTCTCGGCAGATTTTGCATTTCCATCTTTCTGCACGTTTTGGGCCTTCTCGACCCGTAGATCCCGAATCTGAGCTTTAAAAGGGGTGAAAAGGCTTTTTTCGGGGCGTTTTTTTTTTCAATTTCCAAAAGGCAGCTAGGACGAGAATTTCAAAGGAAAGTCGGGAGGCCCTGGCACGAAGACCCTGCTGCCTGTAATTTTGGCTTTGTATAGCATGCACAATGCGGGGAAGCGGTTGGGGGTCCCGCGCCGTCTAGTGGAGAATACTCGTCCGAACAAGGTGTTAGGGGAGCGAAAGGAGGAAGGGGAGCGATGCTTGGGCCGCCCCCTGGCTTGCAGAGTTCACATTTTTGGCGCGGAGGTGCTGTTTTGGTTCACTTGAAGGGCCTCCTATCCATCTGTGTCAAAATCTGAGGTAGGTCAATCTGCCGAGCTGCTGCCTTTAACACATTGACGACCAAGACCCTTCACGGAGCAGTCAGCATTTTTTTAAATCAAAATCAAGCACAATTTCATCTACAATACACCTACAGTAGCGCTGCAATGCTGGCGATAACGGTAGACGTTGTATCTAGATCCAGCACAAAAGTAAACTCTCGTTCTGGGTTTGACACAAAATAGTAGCTATTCCAATGACGCACATGGTATTTCGAGCCTTGACACAGTATGTGTGTCAAACGGTCGTCACTCAGACAATTATTGCGATCACCCGCGGAAGGACCCCCACTGACGTGTCATTCATGCAGCGGGTGGTAGAAATAAACGCACGCTAAGCGCCCGAGAGTCACCCGCGGATGCGCCGGTAAGCGCTTGAACGACACCCACGAATGTCCAGTCAAGCACCCGAAAGATGCGCGATATGCATCCGCGGGTGGCTCGATACACGGTTGCTAAACTCTGCTATCTCCGTCATACTCCTTGAATATTGGTCATTTGGTTAGCGAGGGTGGCATGCGCAGACTCATATGAATAGTAGTTAATCGTTAGTCGCTTCTAGTAGTTAGTCCTTGTGTTCTATCACTCATTAGTGTGGACCTAAACTGGCGAATGGTCTCAAAGAAAGCCATCTTATTTTTCTGCGTTAAGGTTTCTTGTCTCTGTGTTTGTGTATTTCAACACTGATTTTTTTTCAAGAATTTGTTAATTACTAACCCGACACTATGGCGCGACTGTGGCTTATTCAAATAAATAAATAAATCCTACTATAATAACGCGCTAAGGCCGTCTGTTTTTTTTTGTGTGTCTGTGTGAAAATCTGTCTGTCACGAAATTCATAGAGGAAGCTGCAACTAAGCTATCGGGCTGCAATTTTGCATAGCATACCGTGCCAGCGTGTAGGCCCACCATGCACAAGGACGAGCCGGTTCGATAAGCGGTTCCCTCAAAATTTGCCCGTCAAACGGGTCCACGCGCCTTTTGGCACGCAAAACTGGGTCGCTAATTCGACTTTTTGCAAAGTTATGATTTGCCTGACAAGTAACTCTGCGCGCCATGAATTCTAGCCCAAAAAGTGCTCAAAAAGTTTGCTTTTCTGCGAAAACAGCGCCAAAAATTGATGAGCGCTTTGGCAAGGTTTTATTTGAAAAATACTGAAAAGATTTTTGCGCCGAAATGTAGCCCTGGGTGACTATTATCCTTATGACGATCATCAAACTAGAATAAATCCAGTAATCCTTTCAAATTCGCATTTGTTTCCTTGCAACAAAGTTTTTTTCCTAAATATTATCGATCTTACATGGAGATGCTTCATGAATGAACAGTTGTTTACGATTAATTTGTGATGCTCAGCATCGCGTGGTGAGTTTCAAAGTCATTCTCATGCGAACATGAGAAAGGCATACGGATAGGGAGCCAGTGCGAACCTCCGCGAAGCGGAGGTGACGCACTGGTAAATAATAAACGCAGTAATGTATATTTACTCCATTTTTTGAACACCTGTTTCCATTTTCCTCGCCCTCGCACGTGGGTCAGGATATACGCCAAATATTATCTTCTGTCGTAAGGCCCAA